CAAAAAAGTACTCCAGAGTGTTGTTCAGCATGGGGGTGAGTAGAAAATGAAGGCTAATCATGTTTTGGGTGTACTATTCCTTTAAGATCTAAAGAGAAGCGTAATCTCCTGGTCAGACCCTGTAATTCAGTGAAAGGGTGGAGTCAGCATAAAATAATATGCAAGAGGGTGTCACTCCAGTGGCTGGAAGTTGGAGGGGATTTTTTCTTGGAGTTGGAGGGGGGTAGGCTTCCATTCGGCTGGTGTTTGACTGGGAAAGGCTATTTTGAATGGCTGCTACTGTAAGTAATCTAAAATCAAATCACAGGAACATTTGCTGTGTGTTTCTTTATATCTGGTAACATCTGGTTTCCACTCAGATTTTTTTACGTATCATTCCTGTTATTCATTACTCTCATGTTATTGTTCAGGAAAAAGTAAAAAGCGTGACCAATGCAAAAACAACCAGCTGTTTCCTCTGAGCGAGACCCAGTACTGCCCATGCAACAAGTACAACGCTCAGCCGGTGGGCAACTGGTCCGACTGCGTTCTGCCTGAGGGCAGCCGCATGGAGAGCCAGCTTGGCATGAGGGTCCAAGGAGACATCAAGGAGTGTGGCCAAGGATACCGCTACCAAGCCATGGTGTGCTACGACCAGGACAACCGCATAGTGGAAACGTCTCGCTGCAACAGTCATGGTGGGTTTTTCTGTGGAGACAAAACTAAGGCTGCGTCTGAACGTCCGCCCTAACCCCTAAATCCCTCCATTACTATATAAAGCGATGATGCGAAAGCGAAGATGATCAGTACTTCTCACACCCAGTTGGTAACGTAACTCCTCCTCCCTGCACCATCTTTATTAGTCACGGCTACAATAAAAAATCCCATGATGCTTTGCAAGGAGAAGAAATCTGGGATATATCTGCTCCTCTAGTGACCATGGATGGTCACCACTTTTCCAGGCACCTTGTGGGAAATTTCGAGTCCACTTCTTTTTCATCCACTAGATGTTCTGACACTACATAGTGGCCCTATGTAGTGTCCGAACAGATGTTGGCCCTATATAGTGATTAGGGCGGACGTTCAGACACAGCCAGAGTGACCCGGTCTATACCATGATTTAAACATGTCTGATGTATGTATTGTGTAAAAATAGGAGTGGAAAGATTAACCACTTTATTCTAATTTATGGGTAGAATAGAATAGAAATAACCTTTATCGTCCCACAGTGGGGAAATTCAGGTGTACCAGCATCAAAAGGAAAGAAAAATGGGAGCATGCAGATACATTGGAAGGTAAAGAATATTAAAACAAAATAAATAAAATAAAAAACTTAGAATGAGAGCCAGTTAATTAAGGTCAAATTACACCATAAGAACGATAGTAGGGTTATATAATATATAGTCAGTCCATCACAGAGACACACAAAGAGTGACAGCCACTCACACCTAAGGGCAATTTGGAATGTCCAATCAACCTAACATGCAGGTGTTTGGACTGTGGGAGAAATCCAGAGAACCCAGAGTAAATCCACGCAGGGTTCGGGGGCCCGGGGTAGTGGTTTCCCGTGTACTTGAACCCAGAACCTTTTTGCTGTGAGGCAATGGTGCTAACCACCACGCCATTGAGCCACAATTGCTTCTAACATTGCATATACATTTATGGGTCTTAACAACAATAAGAAATACCAAGTTCGGTCCATTTATCAGTATCTGTGGTGGTGGAATCAAACCCATTTCATAAAAAAAAGATGGAAGTAGCTTTACTCCTCTTCTGATGCCATTACTGATGTAAAATTGTATTTTTCTTACCACTGATTTCAACTGTTTGGTAAGAAAACTGCAACAACTTAATTTATTTTAAATTCCTGTAACAAAAACTAAATACAAATAAATTTAATTAATTCTATTGACATCATTTTGACTTTTCATGTGTCCTGTCTGGCAATGTGGCAATAAGACTAATTGTCTTGATGCCAAAAAGAGCCCAACAGATTTTCCGCTTGATTTATGCATATAAATAGCTTTATTATAATTATAATGTAAGTAGAACAGGAAAGGAAAAACAGAAAGAAAAGGAGAAAAGATGAAAGAAAGAGGAGATAAAAGGGAGATAATGATAAAACGATATGTTATCTTTATTGATACAGCTCAACATTAGAGCTATTACTCAGTGGCGCCACCAGGGGGTGGCCTTGCCACCCTGTGCAATGCCCTGGCTACCCCACTGGCTACCCAACTAGCCACACCACTGGCCAGTGTAAATTATAGTAGCATCAGTTCAGCATTTCATCCCATTATGCAGAGCCAGCGACGTAACATTATAAATCACACAATAAACCAAGATATGAGTAGATGTTTCCTAAAGTCTTTATTATTACAGGCAGGTTTACTACAGTAGTAGATT